TTACAATAAAATATATTTTTTAAAAATCTCAAGAATAGCAAAGGCATGATTAGTGATATCTATATGGAAGCATCATCAGGTAGTGAAGAATTAAATTTGTTTAAATCATAACTCCCAAGTGTAGGGTTGGTCTCAATGGTGGATCCAAGTCTTACATAGGAAAATAAAGGGAAAAAATTCCCAAGAACAGAAAAGTCATGTTTATAGTCATATTGACATGTAAGCAACCTCATGTATTGAAGACTTAAATTTGTTCAAATCATGTCAAGCCACTTACCCCCAACCCCACCCCTCAGTAAACTTTTCAATTCTGATCTGATTTGTGCCTTTTCCTAGCCAATGTGCTCAGGTGAGCGATGTGGCCCCTGGGTCTCTTGTCTAATGTATAGTATTGTATTTTTGTTTTCACCCGATTTTTCCTGTGATTTACATAATGAATAAGTGTTATAAATATAATTTTTAAAGAAATATCCAATAAGCGCCAGGATTGATATTATTCGCGGGGGGGGGGGGTCCTTTTCACTATTACCTCCGTAAATTACAAGTATGGCAGCAAATTACATTTAAATACAAAAATAATATCGAAATTCATTGAACAATTTTGACACCATAATTAATCTACTTTTAAAGAGGCATACATGTAGTCGTGCACATTGTATTTCTTTATAATATGTCTTTGTAATCAGAAGAGATTGGAATATGCAATTATAAAATTGACAAAAATCATTAAGCAATCGAGTTCGAATGGTTTCACAATCGGTTCTCGGATAATACTTACTTGATAGGTTCTCCTTTGTGTGTCATCTCTATAAACTGCGATTCTAAAATGATATTTTCATCATTAAATTCGGAATATTCTTCTGATTTAAGTAGCTTTTGAAGTCGACCGATGGTTGTCATTGTAGTAAAGATGCGACGTTATGATGTTCGATCACGATTGTGACGTCACAACATAAAACTGCAACAATTACAGTACATCATACGATTGTAACGTCACGACTTCAAAGTGAAACTTTTACTTCCTCTTTTTATTTTATTGAAAACCGGAAAAAGCAAAAATTTATTATTTCTGGGAAACAAAGAGTGCAGGTTTAGGCATCGTTGGAAACCCACGGGTGATCTTGTCATTTACTTATCACGTGATAAGTAAAAGCACGAAATCACACGTGAGTATCCGACTGGTTGGAAACAACAGTCGTACTTTCTGCCTTTTGTGGCTTTCGAGGATTATAAAATCATTTTAGAAGTGAAAACATCCATATTCAGAAGTTTGTATGGGAAAAAATAGCAATTGTGTTATATCTAAAAATCGTTTATTTAATTACTTCAGAATTTTCTTTTCATTTCATGTGACATAGTGATATAACAATTATTATGATTGTTGTACTTGTGGAATAATCAGCAATATAAGTGTACATATCTCTAACGATTCGTTAATTTTGCTAACAGCTTTCATATACAGTTCAAAATTATAAAGCTCTTTCTCTGAAATTTTACACGTAATAATGATTTTATAGTGTGCACACCTATAAAATCTAACCATAAGATTTATGTCCGAGGGTTGATTGTGTATGCTACGGAAGCGTATTGCTGCTACTTGAAAAAAAAAAAATTAAGTCGTACGTATGAGATAATATGTCGTACGTATGACATACTAAGTCGTACGTACGAGATAACAATAAGTTGTACGTACGAGATACTAAGTCGGACGTAATAATATATCGTATACGACACAATCGCAACTTCTCGGACCTTTCCGACTACCGAAAAAACGACCTCGAATGTATTTGGTAGACGCTATGACCCCCCCCCCCTTTCTCAATCTTTGAAATAAATGCATGCAGAGCTTTTATCTGTGGAATATGGAGTTTAACTTAATTAAATGTAATGATATTACCTATAATATATAGAAAAGAATTCTAACTCCGTCTATCCTATATTTGAGGAAATGTATAAATTTTTAACATCCTGTGATGTTAATATGTAGTTATCAAGAATTGTTTTTATTATATTATAAAGCAATAAGTATAGACGGCGTACGAACAGTGGTCGTGCTTTTAAATTCATTCTTATGCAGGGTTCTCCACATTTAAAAATTTAACCATGGAGGAAGCTGTGCGAAAACGAAATGTTGCTGAAAAGACGTGTCTAACATGCGTGTTAGACATTTCTAATCTTCATTAATCAATGATTTGTCTTACAACTTTTAAACTAAACCACTGCAACACAAAACATTGAAATAACTACACATTTTAAAGTTTAAAAAATAATAATCAAATTGAAATGAATTTATACAATTTTTTACTTCACAAATGTACCAAAATTTGTCCAAAACTGTTGTTACCTTCGGGAAAAAAATTATAGAAAAATTATTGATACAGTAAGTCAGTAATCATGGCAATATTTTTCAGAAATTAATAATTATAAGAGTTGTATTCTGCTGTATGAAATGTTATGTTTCAATTTGACTATATATGATGAATGGTTGTATTTTTTTAAGTTAATACACAAAGAAACATTTGGACTAGTGTCTTTTTTTCTAAACGTTTTATTTTTTTTAGATACCGCATTTTTCACTAAGTTTTGATTAATTCTCCACGTGACCCAGTGCAAAAAATAGCGCCACACGACGTTTTATAACAACGAGAAGTAACTCTAAAACGAAGACTAAGACGGCGATTAAAACTAAGACGGCGGTTGAGAAGTAGGCCCTAAGCACATTTGATCAGATAGATAATAAAGTTAATAATAGGAATATGACATTTTTACAGAGTATTTTTCTGGCACAGAAAGCTGAAACTATGATCATGCTCGTAATTGTCATCTTATCTAATAATTTAGTGAACATGTTGAAGTTTCCCAAAATTATTTACATGTGTACAGTATAGGAAACTCTCAAAATATTAATCATCTGATCAGCTGATTGACTCTTCATCGATTGTCATGCTTCACACCATAGTTGCTAATTTACGTGTTTCTGTAGCACGGTCCGCTTTCCTTCGAGGCATGTGGGGTGCATGGCAGTCGTAGTATAAACACAATCAACTACTCAAGTAATTAAAAAAGTAGGTGTTAGGACTGAAATGCAATAAATTTTAATCATGGCGGCTGCCGATTTTAACCATGGCGCAGCTCGTTTAACCATGGCGCACATAAATTTAACCATGGCGGGCCGCCATGGTAAAACCCCTCGTGGAAAACCCTGCAAGTTATGTTAGGATTTTACCACAACGAAATGATTAATATTACTAATACGAAATTTAGACCTTAATTTCACATATATAAGCAGTGTTAATTTATTTAATAAGTACCCTTCAATGTTTATTAAAAGAATTAAATATTCATTGTTTTAAAAAGTGTATTTTTGCCTACGTGTTGACTTAGAAGTTCGATCCAAAGCATCCCCCCTGCCCAACCCTCAAAAATTATATATTGATATATATTTAGATAGATTTTGATATAAGGATTATTTAGGAAAAAAGCTTTTCAGGGGGTACCGATGGGGTTGAAATGTGCAAAAAAAAAAAAAACATTATGCAAAATCATATTTCTGTAATCGTGGTTTATCTTTATTTTTAATTTCGTTTTAAAAAGAAAAGCTCCGATGTTTTGAGACTGATATTCAACATTTTTATAGTGGCCTGGTTCGAATCACCTGATAGCACACTTTTATAAAATACGTTTGTGTATTTCAGTTCAATTTTCTTCTATATCATTTTTTCCTTTTGAGACAAACGGCATTTATGAGAATGCAGATCATAAATATCATTATTCTCTAAAATTAAAAACAATCATATGAGACTATTCCAGAATGTAAGCATACTATGTTTGGGGACAAGAAATGTTCATTCTTTCTTCCTCGATAAAGGAATCACACACACACACATACACATCCTCACTCCCCTAAAACCAACTTTTAAGAAGAGTATAAATCTATTAAACGAAGTTAACATTTTTCTAAAAGGTCTTACAAATATGTCAGATTGAAGATTTGGGGGCCGTAACAGAAAACATGCTATTTAGATTTCAAATGACTTACATGTACAGCAGAGTCACAAGCCCAAATTTTTTTCTTTATCAAATGAATAAGTTGTGAACTATTATTTGATTAAGAAAAATTCATTTCGTATTTCAGCTTTTTAATTTTATATGGAGCTCTTCTTCTAAAGGAGAGCAATATAGTCTAAAATGGCCCCCCCCCCCCCCCCAAAAAAAAAACCACACACACACACACACACACCAGGAGTTGCGCATATAAACTGTTAATTTCTATATTCAATATAGTTATGGCCAAATCTTTAAGTTCAATAGGGCCGAAATTCCCGGAAAAATAAATTAGAAATTTTTTTTGGTATTATGCACATCTATACATTGTGCCTAATTGCCTACAATCTGATTAAAATCAGATCCTTTGATCCGCGCACGTAGATCGCTACCTTGTGTAGCGATCTATGTGAACGGATCGAAGGATCTAACTTTAATCAGATTGTAATTGCCTATAAAGTTTCATGAAATTCTATGCAGCTGTTTAAGATGAATCAATGAATATTCTTATTTAAAAAATAAATAAAGAGGACTGACGGACTAAAGGGCGGGTCGTAAACATTATACCACTCACAACTTGTTATAAATTAAAATAATCTTAAATTTCTCTCTACATTAAAACACTGTTTCTAGACGATGTCCTAAATAGCAATTTACTCTTAATACATGTACGTATTACCATTTTAAGCCAGAAATTAATAAGGCTTTGAAAATAGGCAAAGTCACAGGTCAGGATCAATATTATAATATTTTATTGCATAAAATCGTTCTGTAATTTGTGAATTGTAACAAACTAACAGTTTTACAGATAAATATAAAGTAAACTGTATAAAATCTCGGGTTCGAATCCTGCAGAGGCTGTTATCTCGTACGTACGACTTAGTATGTCGTACGTACGACATATTTTCTCGTACGTACGACTTAGTATCTCGTACGTACGAGATATAGTATGTCATACATGTACGAGTTATTACGGAGGGTTTATTGTGTATGCTGATTTCCATTTTTTTTTAAATTCGCCGCTTTCCCTTTTAAACTAATGGTTTTAAAATTAGTCTTTCACTCGTTCCATTTCTTTTAAATTCGCTTTCCCCTTTATATTTTATGGTTTTAAAGTTAGTCCTTTACTCTTTTCTTTTTTCTTGGACAGCAGCAGAAAAGGTTGGTCTTCTCTTTTATGATCCCAGTAGTGTCATACAAATCTGTCGCGATTCTGGGCAGTTTGTTATCTATAGGACGAATGACGGAGGAACTTTTGTTCTTTTTCTGCTTCTTTGACGATTTCATTAATGAAGACGTTCTTGATTTGATGTTGCTAATTACAGAAGATTTTACAACAACCTCTCCACTTGATGTTTTGTCTTTATGGAATATATTCTTCAGTTTAAATTTGGGTATTTCGTGTAAAAACTGTTCAGGCGTTGGGCTACTTTTGGCCAAATGTTTCATCCACTTTGTCCAGATTCTGCTTTCACTGCCGTTGCTACGGGTACTAGCGACCATGTAGTATCGATGATGGTCATTATGTCCACGTACGTCTAGCACGTGCTCATTAGGCACGGGCTCGGGAATCACGTGAATAATGGGGACAACCCATTCAAGCTCCAGGTCCACGGTGTCGGTATCAACATCAGCTACGAGGACACTTGCACGAGATTTTCGGAGATCACTTATGACGTCATTGGCCACAATGAAGAACTTTTCAGTGATCCCAGCAATGACGTTTCTATCAAAAGAAAAGCAGTGATTGATTGGAGGAAAAAGATGTTAGGATTAAATTATAGGTTCATATATGTACCAGGTCTGTAGCAGTGGTATTTTAAAGGGAAGGTGGCAACCCATCCACCCACCCCACCCCAAGGAAAAAAATACCGGAAAATGCTTGACCGTACAGCAATAAAATGTGTGTTTGGAGAGTGGGGATGGGTCTCTCGTCTAATGTCTAGTATGGTATTTTTGTATGAAACAATTATTTTTGCCCCCGGCCCCCCCCTTTGATCTTTCCCTAGATATAGTCATATATACAATTAATACATGTAAAATTAATAAATATAATTTGTGAAGAAATTTATAATAAGTTCCGGGATTGATATATGATATATTGATGTCATGTCCACAAATACTTGTGTAAATTACAAGTATGGGAGCAAATTACATTGAAATACAAAAAATAATACCGAAATTCAATTCAAATTTAGTCTGACGGAAAGAAAAAAATTAGTGTTTAATCTTATGAATGTACTACGATACGTATAGTACCATTTTGACACTTTTATTTTTAAGAAGACGTACATGTACTTTTAAGAAGACGTACATGTACATTGTATATTTCTTTATAGTGTAATTAGAATAGATTGGAATATGCAATTACAAACTTGACAAATTCATTCAACAATCGAGCTCGAATGCTTATACAATAAGTTCTCCGACAATACTTACTTGATAGGTTCTCCTTTGTGTGTCATCTCTATAAACTGTGATTCTAAAATGATATTTTCATCATTAAATTCGGAATATTCTTCTGATTTAAGTAGTTTTTGAAGTCGACCGATGGTTGACATATTGTACACAGTGGTGATGCGACGTTATGATGTCCGATCACGATTGTGACGTCACAACATCAAACTGCAACAATTACAGTACATCATACGATTGTGACGTCACGACTTCATGGTGTAACTTTATCATCTTTTTTTTATGAAAATCGGAAACACAAAAATTTATTTCTTCTGGAAGACAAAATATGCAGGTTTATGCATCGTTGGATACCCACGGGTAATCTCGTCATTTACTTATCACGTGATAAGTAAAAGACGAGATCACCCGTGTGTATCAACAGTCGCACTTTCTGCATTTTGTGGCTTTCGGTGATTATAATTTTTTTGGTTAAGAATTTTTTTTTTTATCTAAAAGTGATCCTTTTAAGGATTGTTAGCTACAAGTTGACTTCATGTACAGAAAGGAGAGTATTGAACATATATTCTAAGTATTCTACAAAAGTGTAATTGGAGGGGAATTTTATTAATGATTTTTTTTTAACTTAAGCATGTTAAGTGTTTTCAATTACTGAATAGTATATGTTTTGTTGGCAAAATTATTTCTTGGCCTTACCCCTTTCCATCTTAATTCATCAAGCTTCGCATTTTTCCCTCGGATCCTATGTCGAGGACTTTAGAACAACGCGTTCTCTTAGCAACGGATTTATGACCTATAACAAAAAAGAGAAAGAAATCCTATAGTTAGCGAGAAGTTAATCAAGTGAATTATCTTCTAGTGGGGCTTTGAACTGCGAGTGTGTCATATGTAAAAAAAAAAATTCAAGGGACATGAAATCCCTCGTCCACGTGGAAGGAAATCCATTTCCTGAAATTTATAGAGTTCTACGTAACTGCTTATATGGCATGAATTTTTTAGACGTGGGAGGATCAGGGAGTGGGGTCTTTCAGCCTACATCCGCGACTGTACTCGGCACTGCTGGTACCGGACATCCACGACTGTACCTGTTCACTAATAGTCAGAGCAAAAATTTCCGGATTGATACGCCATCAACGCAGAGTATATGTAGCTAATTACAAATTATTTTGAATGAAAAATAGGTAATGTATATAGTATATTTCTGATTTTAATCAAAGGCGGATCCAGGGCCGGCGCGCCGGACATGCCCCCCCCCCCTCCCCCCCGTTCTGTTTGAATTTTTTGTATGTAAAACTTATATATATTATATATATGTCTTTTATCCTAAAATCAAGGAAAACACCTCTTATTTGTAAAGTTTGTCAGCTTCATGGGGTTCCTCCCCCGGACCCCCACCAGGGCCTTGCTCTAGAACTAATTTGGGCTTCAGTGCAGCGCCCAGATCACTTACCTTTCTACATTTTATTGCCCCCCTCCCCCCCCCCCCCCCCCCCGGGGGGGGGGGGAACCGCTACGAAATTGCTGAATTCCCCAGTATGAATTAAATATTCTTTAAGATAGGCTATGATCGCCAAATGATTAGTAATAAATGGCTAAGTGAAGTACATAATTTATATCGAGGAAATTAAGTATAAACTTGACTTTACCTATCTATTGTATGGATCGCTGATATCTCTAAAAAGTAACATCTAGGCCACACTTTATATCTAGGACTGTACTTGTATCTGTGATTTTTTAAACAGCAACTGCGACTGACATGTGCCGTGCAAACACATTTTTTTCAACAACCGAAATTGATTAACAGCATCCACTATTAAAACCCTGCATGCCAGGATGTGGTCCTTATAATTCACTGATAGTCTTTGACTTTTAAAACTTCATACGGAGACTTTCCAAGTCATACCAATTTCAAATAGATAATAATGTGTTTTTGAGGAGGGTCTGCGTTTTTTAGGGGGTGGTTCTAAAGTCACATTTACTCTGCAAATTCTAAGGGGGTGGGGGGGGGGCTCCAGATCCGCGCATGTCAAAATATTAATGTTTATAAGATACCGAGACAAACGAGGTCAGCAGTTTTGACTGAAGGATCTTTTTACAGATGTAAAATTATAGCTTTAAATCTGTGATCAGAAATCAATATGAAATAGATATATCATTTGGGGGGAGGGGGGGCTAGGGGCATGATTTGAATATCCTATACGTGCTCAATGCTAATGATGAATCATAAACCACGCAAGTAGTGTCAACTAAAACATATAAAACAAGTTAATTGATGCAAAGCATCAAATCGGCCGCTAACATATTTAACATGTCAAAAAAGTACTTTCACAATTCAAAGCATTCATGCAAGAAAAGAACAGGATATTTAAAGCTGAATTAGTGATCATTTTTATTTAAGGCCGTCTTCAAAGCAAAATAAATAGATATTTGATAGAAATTTTAGTATCATGCCTGCTGTTCAATCGAATTCAATGAATAAAATATATTTTAAACTAGAAATTTTAGTGCATTTGCTCATCCAATGGATTTATCGATGTAAAAAAAAGCCTTTGATGAATATGCAGTGTCGGAAGCAAATCAAAAGTGGGGTGAGGGTGGAGGTGGGCTAATTAAAAGGGGGTGCTTAACCAACAAAAAATGGTAAAGCCCATTTTCAATGCCTATATAATGTATATATTTGCAATAAAAGTGGGGGGGAGCCCCCCCCCTCCCCCGGTTCCGACGCCTATGATATGAGAAATTATTGTCATCATGCAAAATTAAGATGCCTTTCAAGATATACCACGTGCTGATACCCTAGTTATTTGTCACGTGATAATGCTTATATAGTTTCTGCAGAGTAGGTTATGCGGCATGGTGCGGTGAAAAATCTTTGTGTCATTCGCAGCTGTAGGAATTTCAAACAAGTTTTTACTAGTAGAGCAACTTTTCAATTTTTTATGTTTTACCACGTGCACGTCATTATTATCCGGAAAATCATAACGATTTCCTTTCGTATCTTACACACTCCCTGGATGGGGAGTACCTATTGTAAACTCTTTTTGTTTAACCATAAAATATCAATTATCTGATGCAAAATGATAATGAAATTGAAACAAAATAACAACAATTAAAACTTAATTTAAAGCAAGTTTTTAAAATATTTTACTCATGGTTTTATACATGCTATTATTTGAGAATTATTTTACTGAACTGATAAAATAATAACATCTCATTTCCCCATGTGCACTTTCTAACACAACCACAAATAGATCGGCCGCTGCTGCGGCCGATAATGATTGATAGAATCTTGTGTAACTTAAATCTTGTATATATGCAGGTAGAATAAGGCTCATACATGCGTTTTCAATGTTTTTTTTTTAAATAAGCATCTCAAATGCACCCCGGGAAAAGCCTCCAATGAATTGAAATGAAACTCCTGTCAAAACTATTATTTATTTATAAATTTACAAAGTACACGATATTTACTAGGCCACAGGTTGCAAAGTTGTAAAGATAAGTTAGAAATAAATTCTTTAAAAATACATGGACCTACCATTGACCTCTTGCTCGGTCGCTAGGTCGATTACCGGTATGATTGCAGATACCTGAAATATACAGGTATGGTAGCAAAATTATTAAAGTTCATATTAATGGAAATGCGGTGCTTTATAATGACTGTACCTGTGTAGTATACACACTATATTCTACATCCCTGACTGTAACTGTGACTTATACTAAGAAAACAACATCCCTGACTGTACCTGTGTCTTATAAACAACATCTCTGACTGTACCTGTACCTTATAAACAACATCTCTGACTGTACCTGTCACTTATAAACAACATCCCTGACTGTACCTGTGTCTTATAAACAACATCCCTGACTGTACCTGTGCCTTATAAACAACATCTCTGACTGTACCTGTGACTTATAAACAACATCTCTGACTGTACCTGTGCCTTATAAACAACATCCCTGACTGTACCTGTGACTTATAAACAACATCCCTGACTGTACCTGTGACTTATAAACAACATCCCTGACTGTACCAGTGACTTATAAACAACATCCCTGACTGTACCTGTGCCTTATTAACAACATCTCTGACTGTACCTGTGTCTTATAAACAACATCTCTGACTGTACCTGTGCCTTATAAACAACATCTCTGACTGTACCTGTCACTTATAAACAACATCCCTGACTGTACCTGTGTCTTATAAACAACATCCCTGACTGTACCTGTGCCTTATAAACAACATCCCTGACTGTACCTGTGACTTATAAACAACATCCCTGACTGTACCTGTGTCTTATAAACAACATCCCTGACTGTACCTGTGTCTTATAAACAACATCCCTGACTGTACCTGTCACTTATAAACAACATCCCTGACTGTACCTGTGTAGTATACACACTTTATACTACATCCCTGACTGTACCTTTGTCTTATAAACAACATCCCTGACTGTACCTGTGTCTTATAAACAACATCCCTGACTGTACCTGTGTCTTATAAACAACATCCCTGACTGTACCTGTGTCTTATAAACAACATCCCTGACTGTACCTGTGTCTTATAAACAACATCCCCGACTGTACCTGTGACTTGTAAACAACATCTCTGACTGTACCTGTAACAACATCCTTCTTCGACCATAATTGCATGGAAGAACAAAGTAAATTGTTTGAGAGTGTGTAGGTGGAAGCTGCAAGAATAATTAAACTTTTTATCTTATTAAGAACATTGTCATATGTTTTTGTATCAGTCTCTATCTTTCCTTTCTATTTTAAAAAGTGTTAACACACCGTATAACAAACGTGCAACGGTGGGTTGGGGTCAGGAATCCCGTCTTTCCATCTTTAGTGACCAAAATATACATAAGATTAATAAATTTATTGATTTTACTTTGTAAGACATTGCATAAAATTAGCTGAATTAAGTTGAAGCTTTTTAATATAAAACTATAAAGCCTAGGAGCTTCTTCGCTCCCCACACTTGGTCTTGGTCTCCAACCATATACCGCCCCCTTTCATGTTCAAGATTCCCATATCCACCATTGATATGTGCCCATGCATGCTTGCTAAGGCATATTTAACTGATATAGACTGATATATAGATTTTTGTAATAGAATTCTGGCACTGGAATGGTTGAAAAAATTACTAATTCCAGTGACGTAGCATCTTCTTTGAAAGAGGAGGCCAGCCAGAAAAAAAATTTTACTAAAAAAACAGTCCTA